TGCTGTTGAAGCACGGTGTTGATGCCAAAGCCAGTGACGATGTGAGTTGCCTCCCTTTTTCCGTACCTTCTGGGAATGGTACACCTGTAACATAATGATGATGTTGTTGCACCTGTCAACAATGCCGATGCATCATCTCCCACAGTATGGCCGGACTGCAGTACACTATGCCTGCGATCAAGTCCATGTCAAGGTGTTGGAGATGCTGGTGGAGCATGGCGCTGATGCAAAAGCCATGGACGACGTCAGTACCTCCCACTTGCTCTTCCGTCTTATGATGGTACACCTACAACATATGATAACGCTGTATCTAATGCTGAGGCATCATCCCATAGTATGGCCGGACACCACTGCACTATGCCTGCCATACCGGTCGTGTCATGGTAGTGTTGATGCTGTTGGAGCATGGTGTCGATGCAAAAGCGCAGAACAAGGTCAATACTTCCCTCTTTCCCATTAACCTCCCTCTGCTGGTACACCTCTAACATAATATGCTGATGGTGCTGTACCAGGGCGGCCGAGCACCACTGCACTATGCCTGCTATAACGGCCATGTCAAGGTGGTGGAGACACTGTTGGAGCACGGCATTGATGCTGAAGCCAAGGGCGAGGTCAGTACAGTACCCCCTTCTTTCCGCTTTGCTGCTGCTCCTCCTGCACATCCGCTCGGCTTGTCTCTCCCCTCTACACCCTGCCCTTTGCGTGCACCCGTGCCGTTTCAATCTCTTCTCTCGTCTTTAACACTATTGCCTTTCTCCGTTTTGGGTTCTTTGCTTCCTCTTGTTCTACCTCCGCCTGCCTACCCTTTTGAAATCTGCGCTGCCCATCCGCCACGATATTGCGACTTGACATGTTGATCTGGACGCCACCCAATCCTTTGCCATCATCATGGTGTCTCTGCTTTCCTCGCGCGCTCAAACACATGCTGGTCGTCATTTTTTGCATCTTGCCTTTGCACATTTGACGGTACTTTTCCAAACACGAGTTTTGTTAATTATTTGATAATCAACCCTTCTGTTGAGATACCCTGCCACCTCTTGCCTGATCTGTACCCCGCTTACTCGCCGAACGTCTCCTGCTTAATCATGTGCATCGCTGCACTGGCTTTCATTTTAAAAAAAAACATGCACATCGCTCAACTCTTACCACACCTCGTCCCTCCCCTGAATATGTTCTCAGAGAGGGGAGACGGCCTTCGATGCTGGACGTCGACGTGGGCATGCCAACAGGCTGGAGCCCGTCTTTGCTGCTCACGAGGCTCGCCTCGCACAGTTGTTTGCCTGGCTGCCGCCCTTGCCCAGTCCTGCACCGTGCCTTGAGGTACACACCTCTCTCCGCTTTTCCTTTCCGAATTACAATCTTTGCTCCCCACTCCATCCCTATCTCAACCTCCCCTCAACCACATCCCCCTATAGACGACAGCCGCTGTTGTGGTGTCGGTGGAAGGCTGGCTCAGACCGCTCCTGCCCGAGCAATCCACCACTCACCCCCTCCCGCACCTCGATGCCTTTATCAGCGGTGCCATCAAGCGAAACTCTAATCTCGCAGCAATGGTTACGAGGATCCAGAAAACCATCGATGAAGCTCCACCAGACTATCTTGCCTTGGACTGGCCTGCCTTCAAAGCGACCATCACCCGCGCCCTCGGCGTCCTCGACCAAGCAGTGCAAGTTCCCGAAGCGCTAAAGGGCTGCCTCAGCCAGCTGGACCCCAACATTGACAATCTAGAATCGGTACTTGAAAAGATGCAAAGTCTAACAGAGCAGATTGAGCTCCAACCAGTATATCTTGAACTCCAGAACATCTTGGCAAAATGTCCCGCTCCAGCCACCGCGCCCACGACTGCGTTTGAGACGCCACCCACCGACTTTGCAGCAGCTCTGGGCAAACTCGTCATGCTGCACAATGTGAAACCCGAGCGCCAAGAACGGCTTACCAGCACTGATACCAATATCAAGCGGCGGGTGCTGGCATTGATTGATGCTCTGGACGCCGTGGCAAGGGCGGGTACCACCGACACTGCTTTGATGCATCGCGTGGACACGTTACGGCAACGCGCACAATGCTCGGATGTGAGCGCACCACTTTCGGCCAAGTCGTTACCCGAGGCGTGAGAGCAGCTGTGCCAGGCTCACGAACGTCTCAGCTCGCCCAAACAGAATGGGCTGGAGCAGCTCGCAGACTGGAGAGCAGAACACGATTATGAGCATCAGGACTGGTACCTGGCGTTTGTGCTGCACGGGTCGCAAGCCCTGTTGCAGCAGCTGCAGGATATGATCGACTGGCAGGCCAAGACGCTGTCCGTGCTGACTGCATGCAAAGAATATGCAAGCGACATCACGCAGAGCAGCGCAGATCAAGTTGTATCCATTTATGAGGAGGTGGCCGAGCTGCAGAAGAAAATTCAAGCAACCACAGCATTCTTGGCTTTTGTGTCAGACGACATGCGAGCTGGTATACAAGCCAACCTGGATGAAGAGAAGGAACGACTTTCGACGTTGCAGCAGCAGCTATCGAAGGCAACACAGGTGGACCAGGTGGCAGCACTGGCAGAGCTACTGCACCAACACTTTCCGGCCCTCTTGATCTTTTTGCACCCTGAGCACAGTGCATTGGGTGTACACCTCCGCAAAGTACTTGGCCCCGACCTTCCAGCCAGTCTGATCTTGGAGGCCATGACCGAAGTGGACCAAGTGTTGACGCTCTCCTGCCTGGGTCAGCTTGAGCTCCATTACAACCAAAACCACAAGGTGTACAAAGCTCGTGCAGCGCTGCCAAATCGGCCTGAGCAAGAACAGGATTTGGCTGTCAAGGAGTATGCATTTGCCCAGCAACACAAGCAAAATCAGTGTCGGACGTTTCTGCGCGAGCTTCGCGCCATGCGCCAGCTTGAGCATCCAAACATCGTTCCAGTCCTCGGTGCGCTTGTGGGCGTGCATGATGGCCACCCAAGCGCCTATCTGGTGCAGCCGTGGTGTACACAGGGGGATCTGCAGCAGTGGCTCGGCAAGGCGCGGCATCTGGCCACCTCGACCGTCGTTGCGAGTTTGATGACGCAGCTGCGCATGGCCCTGGCGTTTATGCATAGCAAGGGCCTGGTGCATCGGGATGTCAAGCTGAGCAATGTGATGCTGGACGGTGACGAGGACCAACCTGTTGTGCGGCTCGGCGATTTCGACATTACCAAGGCGGCTGCCGAAGCCACTATGCTACCATGCACAGCCACTGCGTCGTTGGGCACGGCAGGCTATGTAGCACCGGAGGTGCTATTTGGAATGGGTCGTGTGGGCGCACGCCCGGCACAGGATGCCTTTTCCTTTGGCTGCGTTCTCTACAACACGTACATGTTTCCACAGACGGTGCCACCTGTTCGTTTGCCCACAGACCAGCTTGCCGATCAATGCAGATGGGATGCAGGGGCAGGAGGTGCAGAATGCAGTTTTCCGCACTTGGCGGCTGAGGTGAGTAATATCGCAATATCCCTTGAGCGACAACTGAGCACCGCTTTGATTGTGATTTGCTTTGCTAACCTTTGCTGCAGATGTGCAATTCGACGAGCGATTTGTACAAGGAAACACGGGCCTTGCTTGCAACAGATCCAAAGCAGCGGCCAAGTCTCTTGAGCGCCGGACAAAGAGTGCAGCGACCTGTCACGACTCAAGCTGTTGGGCCAGCTATCGACGTTTTGCGCGACGCACCCGAGCTCATCCCAGAGGTGCGTTGCTTGCGGATATAGTTGCAATAATATTGTTTTTATCTTGACAAGCCGACTGATTTGACCCCATTGTGTATCAAGGTGGTTGAGCTGCTACAGCAGCTGAGTGCTGACGGGCGAGAGCCAAGCAACATTGCAGTGCGGTGGGTGGAGCGTGTGCAGAACCCCGTGCTGTGGGAACGGTACAGCGCCAAGCGATGGGAGATACTGCACCGCATTACAAGTCAGGAGCACTATGATCAACTTCATACGGCCACAGTAGATGCGCTCTCGGGCTGTCCAGCTTTGCTTTGAAATACACCCTGTCAAGAGCGCTTGTTGCTTCACGGCATCGCCCCTGACACAATGTTGCGCGACAAGATTGTGCGCCTGGGCTTTGACTATCGTTTCGCTGGTCGCAGCTCAGGCCACAATTATGGACTTGGTGTTTACTTTGTTTACTTGGCCGATCATCCCGGCAAGGTGTGGTGGTACTGTTGGGCTGCAGGGTTCTACGTGCGTGTTCTCACATTGCTTTATTGGCGCTGTGTGTCGACTTGAACCTGGGTGTAGAGTCACCAATATGCGACGCCCGGAGCAAACGGCGAGCGTATGCTCATTATTACGCGGGCCCTGTTGGGCCGTGCCTATGTCCATCCTTCGCCTCCTTTCGGGGCGCTGGCTCCCCCGCTGCTGCCCGATGCACCCAACAACGAGCGGTATGTCAATCAAGATTCGAGTCCTGTCTCACAGTTTGATGGGACTCATGTTTGGTTGTCTTGCAGATTTGATTCTGTCATTGCTACACCGCAAGTTACGTTTCGCGAGGTGATCATGTTCGACAATGCCCAGATTTACCCCGAACTAGTCGTCTACTACACTGCCTAGATGTTTTCGTTGAGATTCTTTGTCGTGCAGTCGAATCTGCTCTCCCAGACACTTGTCCTGCTTTTGCACACATCCAGCGTCGTTCACCACAAGGCCTCCTCGTTGGGAATACCCAAGGGTGGTTTGACTTTGCTTGCACATCCACGCATATCCTTTGAATGTGGGAAGGCGCACAAGTCAACCTCGCGCGTGTTTCAAGTACTTTCGCAATATCTTGGCAGACTGCCATGCCCACTCCGTCTTTGACGACCGTCGTCTCCTCTTGCTGTGATACCTGCGCTTGGACACGCGTTGCACTTTCCCAGTCCTTGGAACCGAGAGCGATTCCGCAGCTATTTCAACGGTGCACCTGGTCTGGTCACTGTGAATACGTTCCAACCGCAGCTGGTAGAATTGACCTGCAGACAGCAAAAAATGTCTTGCTCCTTCCCGACAAACGCCCCCGAAACCCCTGGAAAAAGGTTTCGTCTCGACTGCGTCTCGAGTCGTTGAGGTATCACGGCGTACCTCAACCGTGTGTTGGAAGCAGTGATGAAACTCAGGATTGCCAAAAAATTCTTCGAGACCAACGGGCGTCGACAGAGTGCTCCAATGATTGCCTGAACGGCTCATGCTGATGATGATGATGATGATGCCACGACACTCCACCTCGCCCGAGGAGCAGAAACCAGGCGCAAGTGAAAAAAAAAAAAATAAAATAAAATAAAAAAAGCAAGAAGAAGGACATGAAGCACAGTCATTGGGCGCGCGCCTCGCACTCGTCTGACCAACTTTTCGTTGACGCGTTGCCATGAGCTTAAATCCGGCTCGCTCGCCGTCAGGAATGGTCGCTCGCATCCGGGCAGGGGATAAGATTGATATGACTGGAGAGGCAGTTAGCCAAACGGGCTTGTAACGTCATGGCAAGCATCGAGGCAGTACACGTTGTACGTTCAAGCCCCAGTTTTACAGCTGGAAGCTGCTCGTAACAGGCGAGCTGTCATGCCAGGCAAAGGGGCAGTCCACGTTGGTACGGACACAAGCTTGACGGCGCTTTGGAACATTTGCTTGTAAGACTGTTGTTGTTTTGACTTTTCCCCCAAAATAAAAAATTAAAAAAGAAGAAGATGGTGTAAACGTGTGTGTGTGTGTGTGTGTTCTTCGCATTTTTCTCGTTCTTTGGCTTTTGCCATTTGCCTTTGACTTCTTCTTCTTCTTCCCCTCTTTGGCATCGGTCTCGATCTCGATATCAGTTGACTTGACGTGTCTTGCTTTGTGTGTGTGTGTGTGACGACTGATCGCTTGTGCTTGGTACGCTTTCCTGGTTGGGGCCTTGCGGCGACGCCAGAACGTTTTGATTGAAAGCACTGCTGCCATCTTTTTTGCTTTCAACTGAAGTTGGCCTCACTGATCTCGCCTCACAGTCGACAACGTGCGGTTGGGCAACCAAGTCCACCGGTCCTCGCAACCAAGTTATTTGTCTCGAGGTGAGTCGTTTGGTGCACCAGGCAGAGAAGCGCAAAGAGCCCGCTGACCGGCTGCCGTTTTGGAAACGGCGCGCGCCTGTTGGATCCCAGTCCGAATTCTGGGTTGTCAGACGAGTTGTACTTGGAGGGGGCTTATGAAATTGGAGAAGCAAGCAAAGCGGATGGTGAATAGAGAGAGATACCGTTACCATGAGTGCTGATGGAAAGCAGCTGTACAGGGCGTGTGATTCATCAGATCCACAAAAGGCGCTGCAGCTGGTGACCAGTTGGGACCAACAACGTATTCGAGATGCTGCCCAATACAAAAATGATGGTTGGGTACGTATGCTGTTTGGTATGATGCTGTGTGTATTGGTTACACTTTGAATATGTCACTGAATGGGGTGACGTTATGGTATAATATGGGACATATACTGCATGTTTGCATCATCCCACAGTATGGCGATACACCACTGCACAAAGCCTGCCTTTACGGTCATGTCAAGGTGGTGGAGATGCTGTTGAAGCACGGTGCTGATGCTAAAGCCAAGTCCAGCGTCAGTACAGTACCTCCCTCTTCCCCCCCTTTAACCCCCCTATGCTGGTGCACCTGTACCCCATGATGATGATGATGATGATACTGCTGTACCTGTACGTCATGCTGATGCATCATCCCACAGAATGGCTATACACCACTGCACTATGCCTGCCGTAAGGGTGATGTCAAGGTGGTGGAGATGCTGTTGAAGCACGGTGCTGATACTGAAGCCAAGAACAGGGTCAGTACAGTACCTCCCTCTTCTCCCCTTTACCCCTCTATGATGGTGCACCCGTACCCCATGATGATGATGATGATGATGATGATGCTGTACCTGTACGTCATGCTGATGCATCATCCCACAGTTTGGCGAAACACCACTGCACGAGGCCTGCGGTAACGGTTATGTCAAGGTGGTGGAGATGCTGTTGAAGCACGGTGCTGATGCTAAAGCCAAGAAAAACGTCAGTACAGTACCTCCCTCTTCCCCCCCTTTACCCCTCTGACTGCTGCTCCTGCTCCCGCTGCCCCGTCGCCTTTGCCCCCGTCCCTCCTCTCCGCTACACCCTGCCCACCCGTGCGCGCCCGTTCTCCACCCCTGGCTCCTTTGCTTCTTTCCCGCTATCCCTCTTCTTCCCCCGTTTTGCGTCCGCCCGTTGTCGGTGCTCCCCGCGCCCCACTTGTCTCTTCCGCCTGCCGTTTTCGCTCTCCCCTTTTTCTGATCCATCCCCAACCCCTTGCCATCACGCCTCTGCCTCCCTCGCTCGCCCAAGCGGCTCTCGGTGACCGTGCCTTGACTTTTGCCCCCGGCACACGCGCCGTATCCTTTTTTTTTTTTCCTCTCTCCAAGCACGCCTCCGTTCGGACCCCTGCTACCTGCCCGCACCATTTGCACACCACTCGCGCGTCTGGCGTCTTCGGCCCACTTCAAAGCATTGTCACCTCGCCTTTGTTATGAGAAAGCAAATGCACGTCGCCCAACTCAACCCTCGCGTCGTTGCCCACCTCACACGCTTCAACCACATGTTTTCAGAGTGGCAAAACGCCCCTCGATGTCGGACGTCAAGAAGGACATGGTGACAAGCTGGAACCCGTGTTTGCTGCCCACGAGGCTCACCTATCACAACCACCCGCGCCCCTCGCTCCGCCTGCACCTATCACTCCGCCCACGCCGGCACCGCCCCCCGCCTGGTTGCCGCCTCTGCCCACCACCCCCACCCTC